TTTAATCAGTCTGAATAATTGGGCAACATTCAGACAGACATTTTCATTTATTTGTTTGGTTAAGGTTCAGCTCTCTGGTGATCGGTGGTGTTCCTTCACCTGGACATTGATTTCATTATCTATTTCTCAATTCACACAGTGAGCAGAAAGGATGGAAAACCATTATGAAAGTAAATCAAATTGATTCACCTGTTGTTTTAAATTAATATGAAGAAAGAGATCATAGACTTGTTAACCGATTGCTGGAGAATGTTAATTGTTATTGTAATGCATTGATAACAGACCTTGGGTTTTTGTTTGGCAGATGCGCGCTTATGCAGTCGGCCCTGGTTTTCAAAAAGAAGAGAAGTTAAGAATAAATTCATTTTTACACAAGTATTTTATACACAAAGACCTAATAACAAAGAAATAACCATAAAATCTTGCCTGGTTGCTGTTTATGCCAGTAAAGCTCTACCCCCAGCTCTCAGAAGGCAATATAGCTTTAGGTTATGCAGCTATATGATGCAGCTTTCTTTGAGGTGAGTACTAAACTGACCTATTTTTTCATCACTTTATAGACTTGTAAACACTTCCTTTACTCCTTTCAGTTTTGTTTGTTTTCTGGTTTTATTATTTGACATTATGCATCTCTGCCTCTTTGCCATTTTCATGATTGTTGTTGCATCTGCCCTCCGTAGTAACACTCTGTGCTCTTTTCTCTTTTTAGAGAGGGGAGGAGTGGATTGTTTCCCATAAAGAATATTTTCCGGCACTCTAACTCCCATTCAATACCAGGAGACATTTTCATCCCTCCCTTTTCAAGACAAGATAACAAGACGTCAAGATAACAGGATGTCAAGATAAGCTCCAAAAATGAAAAAGCTCCATTTGTGCCATTTTTTTTTCTACAGCAATCACTCATGTTAACCTTTGCAAATATACACTGAACAAAATTATAAACGCAACACTTTTGTTTTTGCCCCCATTTTTCATGAGCTGAACTCAAAGATCTAAGACTTTTTCTATGTACACAAAAGGCCTATTTCTCTCAAAAATTGTTCACAAATCTGTCTAAATTTGTGTTAGTGAGCACTTCTCCTTTGCCGAGATAATCCATCCACCTCACAGGTGTGGCATATCAAGATGCTGATTAGACAGCATGATTATTGCACAGGTGTGCCTTAGGCTGGCCACAATAAAAGGCCACTCTAAAATGTGCAAATGTGTAAAATGTGTTTTATCACACCGCACAATGCCACAGATGTCGCAAGTTTTGAGGGAGCATGCAATTGGCATGCTGACTGCAGGAATGTCCACCAGAGCTGTTGCCCGTGAATTGAATGTTCATTTCTCTACCATAAGCCGTCTCCAAAGGCGTTTCAGAGAATTTGGCAGTACATACAAATTTATTTGACTAACTTTCAACATATATATATTTTTTATTAAATGTAGCTAAAATAAATTGTTTGCGACCACTTACCTTAAAAAAATTTAGTAGCATTTTTTTCAGTGCATTATTTTTGCATGGAATACTGTAAACTGAGGTGGATGGATTATCTCGGCAAAGGAGAAGTGCTCACTAATACCGATTCAGATAGATTTGTGAACAATATTTGAGAGAAATAGGCCTTTTGTGTACATAGAAAAAGTCTTAGATCTTTGAGTTCAGCTCATGAAAAATGGGGGCAAAAACAAAAGTGTTGCGTTTATAATTTTGTTCAGTGTATATATATATTGTTGTTATCATTTTCTGTGCAAATGCAGTAAATGTCTCTTGAGTTTGTCTGAACACATTTTTAGATATTCCAGTCTGACTGACATGTTGATTTGTTGGTGACTGAGAAGGAAAAACAGAAATTTTCAAGCTTTTGTTTTTTCTTTTTTCATTTTGAACTTCTTGTAGAAGTAGTGTCTCAAGTGTGGAATATTGAATCAGGAGACTTATTCCTTGAGTATTCACTCCCGAAGTGGAGATACGTTATCTGAAAACGTTTTGCTCTTGTCTTGACATTTTAAGCGTTCTCATATGGTTTCATTTTGTAGTTCTTCATTTTTCACTTAAAATTGCAGCTAGCTCTCTCTCTTCATCGCCACCTCGACAATCCAAGATACTGGAATGTTTTTATTCCCCACCGCGCACCTTTTTAACATATGCGTTTTAGACAAATCCACAGCAGCCGTAATGCTATTTCCAGCCCGGATCCTTTGATAAAGAGATATAGCGCAACAATTCCGCAACATTGTCTTGAGAAAGCAATTCCTCAGGACGTCACAACAATTCCTAGCCTCATTTTTCACAACTGGACAGAAAAAAGGAGAGAGAGGGAATCTGAGGGGGGTTGAGAGATGATGGCTCCTGAGGTGACGGTATACGCATCATAACCCCTCCCCTTTATCTACTCCAAGCAGATATATGCACAAATCTATCCATTTGTACGTGGCTGCAGAGACTTGTGGGTAGAATATGAATGGATAAAGAAGAGTCTTTCATTATCTTTAGTCTCGATTAATCTTCTTCCTTCGAAATAGGAAAAAGTCAGCCAAACTTTTAACAGAAACTCTGGTTGGATATGAAGATGACGGGTAGAGTGAGATGGTAACCTTTCGGCCTAACGGGAAACATTTGATATTTTCTGATCTATCACGTTCTCTTGATCTCTCTCTGTTTGGTCTGCTTTGTTTTTTATATGCCTTTAAAGCTTTAAAGAGTTAACGAAAGTGTTTGGATATTGTCTGAGAGGTTATAGAGGTTCATGATCTACAGTTCTATGTTTGACTGTGAGCATCTGGCCTTTGCTGTCTTTCATAACAGGAAGTGTCACATTCCCTTGACATGCATCTAAGACATGTTGATATAACAGGGGCAAAGGAGTGCTCAAAGAGCACGGCTGTATTCCCATACCAAATATAAATGTGTCTTTCTTTTTGAACGTTTTGGCCTGAAACTCCCGTGACTGTTGGTCAAAGGATATTTGTTTGTGCTCATTGTGGAATTCATGGGTCATTGTGATGGATCTTTGGACACTTTTAGTTGCACTGTCTGTCATCACTCTCAATAGCCTGTGTCATGGTACATGGGGGAAATAAAAAATGATGAGTTTAGAGTAAAGCAAATAAAAATCCAGAAACAAATAAAGATTCATCTATATCTTACAAGTGAAGCATTTGAATTTGAGCTCCTTGCTGGGTGATATTTCTCATTTGTGCCTTATTTGACCATGTGAGCAAATTACTGTATTGTTAATTATTTCAGCTATTTGTTATGTTCAGATTAACTTTTTGTTCTCAGATTTACCATTACCATAATTTTGGAACATTCCTGAGAGCCAAATGTTCAGCTCTCTTGATTACCCAGTGGTCATTTTTAGACTGTGTCAGACACTACTTACTGAGATTTTAATAGACATTGTCTTTTCTGAACTCCATTAGAAACTTTTTGGCACTGAATGTCATGACAGCTGACTAAAATACAGTGTTTCTGTCTTTTGAACATGGGCCATGGTCAAAATAACAATTTCCCAATGGAAAAAAAAAAAACCTTCAGAAAAAAGTTTCTGGTGCAGCCTTCGGTTAGAGAGAGTTTTGCTGAAAATGACAAAATCCAAGAGAGAATCTGTGGTTAGTGTTGTGTCGTTGTCAGTCAAGTTAATAAATCTGTGTGCTGTGGTTTTGAAAGGAAAAATCCTGACAAACAGATGACAGTTTAACCCTCCTAACAAACACTAACTTCACTCTATTTGCTGTTCTGAAAGTTTAGTGAACTTGTTAAAAAGAAAATGACCTTGTTTGTCCAGCATCTAGTCAACTCCAAATAGTCAGCATATGGGATGTTTTGCTATTATTTGAACTGCGAACCATAGGTATTTTGAATTAGACTTCAAAATCATTATTCAACTTCCTTATGAGGTTTTCTTTTCAAAATCGTGAATGTTTGATGTTTAGGTGAGTATACAGATTGTTCTGTCAGGACTGTTTTTTCTTCACACACATACTAGTTTAACCTTAATGGTTCTAACAAACCTGAACTTCAATGTACAGTGGGTACGGAAAGTATTCAGACCCCCTTAAATTTTTCACTCTTTGTTATATTGCAGCCATTTGCTAACTGGAAGTTAGTGAATTTGGTATTATAAACAAAATGACCTTGCTTGTCCAGCCTCTACTATCCTCTCCAAATAGCTGACATACAAGATGTTTTGCTATTATTTGAACTACAGAATGTGGGTGAATCGTCAGACTTAGCTAACATCCTCAGAATTTGAGGTTTTCCTCATTAAAATCATGATCATGAATCATTGATGCCGTACAGATTGTTCTGTCAGGACAGGTTTAGAATTCAAAACTGAAATAGGTGTTTCATGCAGTTGTCAGCCAAGAATTCAAATTCACTGTTTTGTAAGTTCCTCAGAAAACTGCCCTTTTAAAAATTGTCTATAGGTTCTGAAACTGATTTGATTGACTCAAACCTGTCTCCTTATCACATTTTAAAATCCCCTTTTAAGATATCCCAACTATGCATGGTTATATACTTAGTTGTATTTTATGATTTGCCTATAGTTTTTTTTTCTTCCTCCCGTCCACAACCCAATCTGAACAAACCTGTGACCCATTTTAATGTCACAACCTACCAACTGAGAGTCATTGATCTAGAGAACACCCTATAACGTTTTGATTTATGACCAATCATAAACCGTGCCTAAGCTTGCTGCTTTTCTCTTATGAAAAAATTAAACATGGCACCTTAAAAGCACAGCAAGCCTTCTGGAACTATGCATGTCTGATTATTCTATAATACTGTTTCCATTAAGAAGGTAAATGTGCAATATACCACCCTATTAAACTCTTTATTCTCCATTTTTCTTAACAAACAGAAAGTTTGCAATCCGATGAGGATGATGGAATGCAATGCAAAAATGCTGAGACTATTACTTGAGCATCAATGGCGAGCATGTCAGGTTCATGCGAGCGTCAAAAGAAGAAACACCCCCCTCTATAAATCTATTGGTGGTGGACTCCAATGCTCTGCTCACGAGGCTGCAGTTCTATTTGGGAAGTTGGCAGCTCGAGGCAGAGGGGCTTTACTCTCGCGACTCTGGAATTATGAACAGCGCTGGTCTGACCAGCATCTTGTTTTGAACATTATTCCCACTGATCTGAGACCATGGAGTTCGGAACCCGCATTTTCATCGCATTCCTCGTTTGCCAGGTAGGCGCGAGAGGTTTCATTCCGTTATGTTCAGGAATATCGCTCGAGCTGGTTCTTAGATTTATTTTGCGTTAATTTAGTGTCGGGAAAATTGTGAAATTAATTTGTGAGCGCATTGCACGTTTTTACAACTCGTTAAACAGAAAGAGTTGCACTGAGATAATAGCCTACTTAAAGCTGAATGCCACGACAAGTAGAATAGTAATCAGTAATCAGTGTAATGTAACATGTTATTCTTTATTTCTATTTATTTCTTTATTTATCACATTAACGATGTCTATAATGCGTTGAACGTATAACATTAGATGATTACTCCAGTCCGTTCGTGTGATTCAGTCTAATGCACTGGGTTCAGGTGGGTGCAAATCACGAGCAAACTCAGTCTCAGATCGCATCTATATTCCGCTCAGCTCTGAAGTTGAGCGCTCCTTTGGCTCCCTTCATCAGGAGACATTCACACGACGGGCTGACTCACGGAGCCTTTCTCCATTCACTAAAGACAGCAAAGAATCCGTAAATGAGCGAACAAATAAACGATTCAAGACCAAAACAGCGCCTATCCAGTAATTTGAGATCGCTGAACTAAATTAACCATTTAACGAACAAATAAAAGATTAACGATAAATTCAATCTCCGTTCACTTCAGAGAGCTTAAACAATAAACAAGATTAACGAATAGTAATCAAACAAATAAAACAAGAGTCGCTTTATTCATTAAATAAACGAGACCAATAAATAGGTATAACCAAATAGGCTACACTAACCTAATTGACTGTGTCTCTCTTTAATCGTTTATCACTTCAAAGAGATGAAATGAAATGAAACTGGTAAACAAACTCAAACTCTCTAAAATAAAATTAGAGATTAATCATTAGGACAACAGCGCGTTCACTTCAAACAGCTGAAATCAAATAATGGCGCCACATTCACGCGTAAAGAAGTAAATCGATTCAGTTTAAGGCAGCAGATGTGTTTTGAAACATTATAGCTGGTTTTTACCTGGTTTAAGATGGTCATTAGCTGGATCAAGTTGGTTGACCATCTTGGACTAGCAACAAACTACAGCTACATACAAGCTTGAAGTGGTCGAGCTTGCTATATGGACATTGTAGTTGGTTAACCAGCCTCCAGTGATCTTCTTGCACCAACTAGAAAGCAGCTAACTATCAGCCTTTTACAAACTCGTTCCTTTAAAGCTTAGAGCCACTGTTACTTTCGTTCACCTGAGGCTGTTACTACTAATGGACAGTTAATATTGTCATATTCTTTGCATGTGCATTACATTGTGAGTGGTAGTCAGTTGGGGGTGAAAGAGACATTATGGCATCCTCCTGCATTTAAAATGTTGATGGCTCATTTGTAAGCCACTGCTCAACAGTTATTTCCTTGTACAGGATAATGAACAACAGGTGTCGTGGTGGTGGTGGTTCCTCTCACACATTAAATGGCATTATTTTCAGAGAATATGATTTATAATGATCAAACACATTAAGTTGTGGTTCTCAAATGGCCCTTTGAAGATAATATGCATTTGATGGACGTTTTCGGTTAGGTAAATGTTATTATGGATTAGTTAGTAGTATGTAAGGTGATTTATAACTTTGCATGCCCTCAGCATGTGCTACATGTATTATTCATCATTTAATTTAAATACATCTTCTCTGTTGTTTATCACACGGGAAAGCTCCAGGCTTTGTGCGCAGTTTTAAAAAAGACACTCTATCCTTGAGAACTTTGAGAGACCTATCATTGTGCACTTGTTATTAATACTTATTAGGCATTAGTCACATATTTTAGCTGCTCTCGGGCACTTCACTGGATTTATACTTTTATAGCTGTGAATCATCACAATGCTCTGAATCTTCAGGGACTCTGGACAGATTACAGCACGTTCTTTTTAACAATTCATTGTAAGCAAGATGTTGTCTGGCTCCCCTATGCAATAAACCACTTTAAATAGATAATATCCTCATACGATGCTCTCTAGATGGTCGTCTCACCCTCACCATCCACCTGGCCAGCAGTGCGAAATCCCTTTTTTCCTCTCTGGCTCCGTGTGTGATCAAGCGAGAAGGATCTTATTTATAGTCACGCAGGTAGGGCGCCAAGTTTCCCTTGCGTATCGGAGCCTATGAATTCCCCTCTATAAATCCCTGTTTCCAAAATGAAACGTTAAGCAGTCGCGAGTCGCTGCTATGATTCAGAATAAGCGTGGCATACCCGTGAGGTGCAGACATTTATCTTTTGCTCTCTCTCCCCCATTGCTTTTGTGTTTTATTTTATTTACTTATCTATTTACCCAGTTTCCCCCAGCATGGCGTTAGAAAATAGAAAAAGAGAGCGAGAAATGGAAGGAAAAATAATTTCCCTCGCTTGCTGTAAGATCCCTAAGTGGCAAGGGTTCTTTGGAATGGAACATGCAGTCCAATATCTCAGGTAATAGATAAGTCAGTGCAGCCATTTACAGTTTGGAGAGGATGTTGTTCACTCCAGGATGCACATATTGGCTTTAAATCTTGTGTAGGCCACACTTAATGCTTTTGAATTGCTATTTGCATCACTTTCCCCTTTGATGACCTTGTGGCGCAACATGGACAGTGTGCGTTTGATGACTTCGCTGCCACTTATGTGTTACTCCTGTGATTCATCAGTCTTAATGAGAGAAAGAGGCGCTGCTTTAGGGTGGTGTCATTTCTATTTATTGCAAGGGTAACAGGTGCACATCGCTTCAGCCAGGACATAACGCACAAGCACACACACACACACACACACACACACACACAAAATCACATTTCTCTTTAGTCGCAAAGCCTAAAGGCAGTCATGCAGAAGGGCTGGCTTCAGCTGTGTCCACACTCTGTGTCTAGGGTGCTCATCACTAGCTACAGAGTGAATGTGTATATATAGCATCCCTTCTTAGTGAATGGTGAGGTAGGAATTTGCGCTTTAATGTCGAAATGCAAAGCACCTTAAATATTTAAGCGTTTTCCGTTTAGCGTACTCTGTTGAGATCATTCACTTTACATTAGCATTACTTAAAATGCATTATGCTACATTTCCATCGGTTGCATGCATGGTTTCCTCACCAAGGAGGTCTATAAATTAGGTTGGAATGGTTGAATTGGTGTTACGGGACTTCTTGCTTGGTTGCTCTTTTCCCCATCGAAAACTAAATATTTAATTTTTTTTTTTAGATTTTAGTTGTATAGATTTGATATGCAAGTAACATTAAAAATTAGTTTCACCTAAATCAGTGATGCAACAGTGTTATTAACTAAACTATTAAAATCCTTTTCATGAATTGAAATACGGATGAAATAAAATAGAGTATAAATTATGAAAAATTGAAAAATGAAAAAAGTAATAAAAAAGATGAAAACGTAATAAATGACAAAAGCACAGATTAAATAAATTAAAATAAAAACTGAAAATGTAAAAGCTAATAATATAATAGTATTTAAATAATACAAAAGCTAAAACTGAAATTAAATAAAGGTAAACAGATTTTTTGAAAAAAAAACAACAAAAAAAAAAACAATGACAAAAGCACACAAATTAAATAAATGTAAAATGAAAATATATAAATAAAAACTAATTCGAAAATATTAAAAAATACCATAATAGTATTTAAATAATAGTAATTTAACACTGTCTGGGATGCAACAATATTAAAATTCTTGCCAATACCGATAAGCTGGTAATTATTTTTAAGTTATGGCCAATAACCAATAAATAGCCGATATTAAAATTCTATAGTCTTGTCTAAATAAATTAAAAAATGTAATGTAAAAAATTAAATCAATCTTCTGAAATGTTAAAATTGAATTTAGGTGTCATAACATTATAATGTAATGTATGAAAAATGGATATTTACAAAAAGAAAAAATATGAATATGCTTGCAGAATTGGTGTAGTTGCATCCACCAGCAGGGACGAACTGCTGATACTTACTTGACTGTCTGGTCTTCGCAAAGCCTTTAGGTAACTTTGCACTAAAGCACAGACAGAAATTGGGAGGTCTGGTTTGTATTTAACCTTGCAGATGGACTGTACTGTGACTCGTGCTTTCATCTTTGAAGTGCGCCATTAGGAGGACGCTTGTCTTACCAGAGTGAGAAATCTTGATTAATTCGGGCACTAGCTGTTGAGCACAATACGGTAAATGAAGGTCTGGTAATGATGGAGATAATGAGAGCACCCAGTCATTAGCACTGCAGTGGATCTGAATGGTTCGCTCCGTGTGTCGACCCCCTTTTGTACTCGCTACCCATCCTCTACCAAGGTCGCCGCTTTTGCTGCATAGGTTAGGTTTGATTTTGCCTTATTTGTGCAACTCCTTCATGGCTGATATGTGTGCATTCTTGTGAGTTATAGCTGTTGGTGAAGAATCTGTGATTACAGAACAAGTCTACTGGAGGTTTTGTGCTTGTCTAGAGTCTTAGAGGTTAAGGCCCGCTGACCTCTGGCAATTCACTTGGCTCCCAAAGTGGAAGCAGAGTTGGAGATTTATTGTTAAGGCACAAATTTGTGTGTTTGTTCTTATATGTAGCTGGTAAGTTGTGGAGTTGCTGAAGTCAAGATGCTTGGGCAATGTAAAGAGATATCAGAGCAGAAAGATTTGTTTAGCTTTCTGGGCCTTAAACAGTAGGAAGTTAGATTCACTAACTACTACGACTGTAAAAGTTTTGAAGATGCTCAAAAATACTTGCTCACATACACACAGATAAATACTGTACACACAATCATTCTGAACTAATTCAGTGGTTTAGATACTGTAAATGGACTCTCTTTTTCCTCTTTTTGCATTCTCTTTTCCTCTTTCTCCTTTCCAAATGGCTACTTAATCATTTTAAATGATTTATGAACTGGTTTATTATTTGTAAAAATGTTACCAAGTGATATTTTAAATGTTTGCACTGTAAAATTCTTCAACTTCACCACCTTTCTTGCCATTTTTGTTGCATTTCATAATGTTTTTGCATCTCTGCAATCAAATATGG